TCTATAAAGCTCGAGTCTTTGGAATTACAAGATTCTGCTATAAATAGAGTCTTCGGGGATTAGAGTTCTATAAGCTCGAGTCTTTGGAATTTCAAGATTCTGCTATAAAGACAGAGTCTTCGAGGATTAGAGTTCTATAAGCTCGAGCCTTTGGAATTTAAAGATTCTGCTATAAAGACAGAGTCTTCGAGGATAGAGTTCTATAATCTCGAGCCTTTGGAATTTAAAGATTCTGCTTCAAAGACGGTCTTCGAAGCATCTGGACCCAACTTTGTAACCTTGAAATCTTGATTTCAGTTTTAAGAACTTTCAATGTTGAAGTCCTTGATGCCTGAGGAATCGAAGCATCGAAGACTGCAGCTTTCCCAGCTCAAGTCCTAAGAGCTCAAGCTCTCAAGGCTTGAATTGCAGCTACAGTTTTGAAGACTCAAAGCTCAGTACTCATTTTCGCAACACTAAATCAAACATTTGTGGGCTGTGGTTACACTGGACACGTTCTCCAATGAATTGGTGCTTCGACTGACGAATATCTGGAGATCGCTATGTATATAGTTAGAAATTATACATATTTAATCGCTTCGAAGTATCTAGTTAGAGCACCGGTTCCTTCGAATGACAAGTATCCATTGTAACAGTAGCTCTATTCGTCTCATTCATGTTTCTGACGTGTTTACTGTCGAACTGTAGGACACCTGGAAAGTGTCACGAGGTACGGTTAATAGAACGGACTCGAACGATTTCTGTTTCGCAAGGAAACACGAGGATGTCGATTTTCGCGCCTCGGTGCTCTGATAGACGATGGTCTGGCAGCTAATCCAGGCTCGTAAGAAGCGTCTCGCGCTTCGTTTCTAATGGATCGGCTGTAGGAATTAGTGACCTTAATGTAACGCTCCATCTGGGTCCAGTATAATTAGAAACGGTAAATAAAGGGTAACCATACTTGCTCATGAAAGTTGAAAGTCGATTTTTTATAAGACAAGGGGATTTCGTATTCTTTTAGACTCCGACAGCCTATGTTTTAGAAGATAAATACTCATTCATTGTCGTTTGATTGGATCTCATTTCCGAAATGTACGTTCTATATCCGTGAGCGTAAACCGGTGAGTCGAACGGACCTCTTGTAAATTTGAATGAAAATAGAGCTTAAGGTACCGCTGTCTAAGAGCTAAAACAGCCGACTGGCTATTGTTCATACCTAGATAATAGTTGTACAGCCCGTGCGGAGTTCTTCGTGCGCGTGAGTGGCTCGTAAACGATCAACAGGTGTCAAGAAAATGAAATTCCGAGGAGGAAAGCTGTTGCGGCGGGGGCGGACGGCTCAATTTCCCTGTCGAAGCTCATTAACTCGAGTATCGTACCCGCAACTGTGTTCGTAGGGCTCGCGTAGAAGAGTTCGTGGACGCTTTCGCACACGATTGTTCGTTTTTGAAGACGTATTTTGAGAACTTGAGATTTAACCTTGAGAAGAACCGGAGATCTGTCTCGAGGGGACCGTTTTAGGGTCGAAAACATTTGATCCGCGTTATAATGTACGAACCAAATAGAACCAATGGAAGGTTTCTAGGCGATTTTGTAACGATTTCATACGTTTCGTATCGTTCCAGATACTGACTGCTGAATCAGATTCTCTGTAAAAATTGTTCTCTGCGAACTGAGATTATCAGGTTGCCGGGGAATTAATGGCGAGATATATATTGTCGGATCGGCACGTCTAATTGGATTCATTCTTTCGTAGACGGTTCTATAAAAGTCGGAACAAGGAAATCTTTTTCTATATTTATGTAAAAGATAATTTATACGTTCTCGTGGTAATGAGATTTTCAAGTGAAATACTTATTATTTCAACGGACGCGTTAAGATCCTGCGCAATGTACGTTCCGCCATTGATTATCCGCGACACTAATGTTATATTCTCATTTAACCCATTAACTGTTAGATTTCCATTTAGTTTCGCTAAATTTTTGAATTTACTTTCCATCAATATTCATTGTCAATAGTTTTGTTAATTTATTAAAATATGTTGATAATTGTAACAGTTAATGGGTTGAACGACGCTATTGTACGAAAAGGAAGTATTTTCAATTCGACACACTTTCCCCCGACGGAATATTAAGGCGAGGGGAGAATACGATTTTATGGTGAAGTAGTGCCTAGTAATAATAAATAACCGAAATTAGCAAACCTCGTTGACGCGGTTTTTACAAAATTCAACTGAACATTTGCCGGGCTTGGTGACAAGAATCGAACTACCGACGTGTTTGATGTGTTCCCGAGTTCCTTGTTAAGTAAATTCCTAGAGTGGTTGGTAATTCAAGCGTTTAAGAATCAATGTGTCTCGAAACTATACTGGAAAACATAGTTTTAACGAACGACGGTGCAGATAACTCTTGTGTAACACGGATTCGAGTGAATGCGAATAAATGTGAATTATCGCCAGCATTTTCTATTATTATCACAGACTTCAGTAATAATCACAGCTTCATTGAGATCGCAGAAACGATTGTTTTTGGTTGAAACTTTAATCACTGCAATGAAAATGAATATTTTCGACGATTACATGTATATATCGCTGTCACGGTTTCGTGTCGTGCGAGAGTTATTTGTAACGTCGCGTCATGAGCGTCAAAATGGCGGAACGGTCGCCAGGATGTATCCAAAGACGAGAGGATGTCGCACCAACTATTTATACACATATATTATGCATATGGCAGAAGAAACTTCTGGCCTCGATAGCGTGATTGTTAAATATGAACGCAATTCGATGTTTGTACTAGTATGTCACTGTAACGCCACGAAAAATATAGTCGTCGATCGATTAGTGCGATTTTGTAGCAACGCAAACTTTCGTAGACGAGAAAGTTTCGTAGAAGAATCATCGTGATTTGAACGTCACTTTAGCTTTTTACACGGAATTTCTAACTGTCGGAATGAAATCAATGAAATCACTCGATACGTTCCTTTCATATATACGCGTTTATTTCGTAACGAACGTTGCTTTCTCTCGTAATCGTACAGAACGAACGATAAACGTTCCACAAGCTTTGCGTTTCAATTGAAAATCGTTGAGACACTTCGAAACTAAAATCGAGCAACGTGTTACTTTGATTCTTCTACGGTAGAAACTCAACGAGAAAGACATCCGAGGGTCGTATTTTTTTACTCGACTAGAGAGTATATGAAACGACAAACAGGAATATCCGGGAAGACTGATAATCGGGGTTAACCTAAGTGGGTGGTTATATTTTTAACGGAGACCATTTTCTAGCTGCCCCTTTTTCACCCCCTAACTGGAAGAGAACGCGACGGAAGTTTCTTTCCTCCCCCGCGAGGCGACTACAAGGCAGAACCTTTTCTTTCGAAAGTATAGTTTACAGGCCGCCGTTAACCTTTATCTACGTGTAGCGACAAAATGGTTCCTGGGTATCTGAAATGTCCGCTGCGTCATGGATGTTCAATGACGTTGGATTCTCGATGGCCGCGAAGGTCGGCGCGAATTGGAAAACGATATGTATATTCAAATTTCACGGGATAACGACGGATCCACACGGAGCGTTAGGCTCGCGGTCGGTTACTAACGAGTTAGTCGGAATTAGTTTATAATCAGAGAAGCTTTTATACGACGAATAGCTCAATTTTATATGCTATAGATGCATGTTAAAATATTTTGGCACTTTTACTAATTCGATATCGAGGATACGAGACGACTTGTAAGTGTCCGACGACACCGATTGTGTACGACGTTAACAATTAAAACCAGTCGGAGGGTCGAGAGAATGATTACCACATTTCCCTGATCGCAGCTCGCGGATCCCGACACCGACGCTTCTGTACTCGCCGACGTTCTGATTTCTGTCAATTACGAAAGCTGATCGTCGTGATCCGTACACGCACAAAATCACCACTTTTCTTTTCTCCGAGACCGCGGCGTCCCATGCATCGAACCATTGTAAAATCGCGCACCGTAAGGAAAGGATAGTTCGTACGTATGTACCTTGGTTCATAGACGTTCATTGTACCATAATAACCGGTCGTGATTGGATATATTTTTTGTCGTCGAGAATTTTTTAATAAACGACAATTAAGTACTTCCCATTTTACGTTCATTCAGCCTGTTCTTTTTCGTCGCGCTTCAAGCTGGTTGTCGGTCGGCCAACTTCAAATGAACGTTTCGGTTAATTGGATATCGTTACAATCATTAGAATCAGAATTCATAGGTAATGCATTTCATTTTGTTCTCTTCGTATCGTGTTCGTCGATTTGATTTCTATAATAATTTTAGTGTTCATCGCGATTGCTTTTGATTGATCCGGTGTAGGTTGGAAAATAGCAAAACGGAGAAACGTAATTGATTGATCGAACATGTCGGAGCACAATTGCGAGCTCTCGAGGAACTCGACGAACTTGCGTGTGTCCTCCTCCATGATGAAAGGCAGAAAGTACACTATGAAAGAGAAGCTGACACGTATGTTCAACGTGAGTGCAAACACACCGAAATCGAGAATGTATTTGGACAGTATGGCGGCCACGTTTGCCGAAGGAAGGAGGCACGCTGCGCTCGAATATTGGTGGATCATACATCCTTTTAGTAGGTGGAGGTAAACGATCGGTCGTCGATCAACCGTAAGAGATCATCGAGTTACTCTATTTCATTGATTCGCAAAAAATATAGACAATATAAAATTCATTGGAAATCCAAGAGATCGAATTTCGAAGCAGATCAAGTTTTAAAGCATCAGTCAAAATGACTGGTTTCGATTTTTTTGTTTAGCAACTATCGATATTTTCAAAGCATTGAATATTCGAAATGATTTCGAAAATAAATAGTTCCACTTGAGTACTATAATGAATGCCCGAAGAAACTGAAAACAGTTGTTACAGTTTTTATAGGAATTGCATATTAATCGTATTGAATGCTCGGTAGTTCTAGTGTTAAACAAGTATCAAGTGATATTTTCTGGGATTAACGATTAATCTAATTTCTAGATTCTTTTGGGATCTGATCATGATGGTTGTTTACATGATCGCTTTTCTATCGATCCCATTTATGATTTGCTACGTAGTGATGAGCCACGACGCGATTCGAGTAGATAATTTTAATATCCTTATTTATACCTTCTGTTGGGTGGACATAGTGGTGAATTGCGTCAGTGGGTATTATGATAAGATGCAAATGCAAGTCGAATTGGATCCTTGGAAAATAATCAAGTAAGATTATCACATTCCTTCGAATGTACGGGACTATTTCCTTTTTGAATGATTGATTGTGGTGTGTGATTACATTTCCGTTTAGACATTATCTTAAGACATTCTTCACTTTGGATGTCCTCACTTCCATACCTTGGGACTACATAACACTATCATGGCGGAAACTCCCTGGAACGCATAAGTACTACGTGATCATTCTGCTGAATTTGTTACCACTTCTGAAACTTGCGCGTTACAATCACATGACCACTATACTCTTTGAATTATTCACGGTAAATCTTTACATTCCATTAAACACACAAATTTCCATGCTTCTATATTAACATTCAACTGAAAAATTAATATATATTTTTTTACCATTAATCATTCTGTATTACATTTTTAAAAAATTCCTTTTTCATTTATTAGTATTCACTGGCACGTGTTAAGGACTGTTGTGCTTCTATATTAATATTCAACTGAAAAATTATTATATATATTCTTTTACTATTAATCTCTATATTCCGTATTTATTACATTTTTTAAAAATTCCCTTTTCATGACACATGTTAAGGACTGCTGTGCTTCTATATTAATATTCAACTGAAAAATTACTGTATACATTCTTTTACCATTAATCATTCAATTCTGTATTACATTTTTAAAAAATTCCCTTTTCATTCATTGATGTTCACTGGCACATATTAAGGATTATTGACATCAATTGAGTGCTACTGAGGATCATCAAGGATTTTGAGGATGGTTGAGAATCAATGATATCCGCTCAGAACCCTTTACATTCGATGACCTTTTACCTTCATAAAAGGCAGTTGAATCCATCCAGCATCATCGAAATCCCTTGCACTTCATTGATAACCACAAACATTCATTGACACTCATCGACATCCATTGATCTTTCATCATTGTTACATTCCAGTACCTGGGCGTGATGCATTTGTACTACGAACTAATCATCACTTTATTATTGGCTGTGTACATGATGTTTTGGTGTGCCTGTCTCAGCTATTTAATACCAGCCTTGATGCTGCATTTGACAAACACTACACCTGAAGTACGACATTAATCACATACAAACTCGTTTAACCCCTTGTCCTATAACGAGTGAGTCTCGCGAAGATTTTCAACATGATTCAATAAACACATATTACTCAGTTCATTCGAATTCAAAGTAAATATTATTCCTCTGTAATCAACTATTATACTTAAAAGAAAATATAGGCATAACATATGCTAAGAATTTTTCTCTTTCTCCAATAAATTATTAATTAAAGTAGCTGTATCGAGTTGAGAAATCATAGGCCAAGGCGTTGAATGATATTCACAATTTATTTAGTATTATCGATAATTAACTCAGGCATTATTCAATGATAGGATTGCGAGGAATGCTGGATGACAGGATTGGATCACGAATACATTAGCTCCAGGTTCCAGCACTCGTTTTTCATGGTTATCGAGAAGGTTTCAACAAGTGGTTACGGATTGTACGTACCGATCACAGATGGACATCTGATATTGAGTAGTTTTCTTATGATTATGGGCAGACTACTCGACTGTTACATCGTCGGTGAGTCATTAATCCGTAAATACACTTTCCTTCATTTTTTAATAACTCACTTATAACATCGAAACTATTTTTCGCAATGAATTTTTGAATTGCTACTTTGGTCTGACCACGCGTAGTCTGATTCTACTTTCTGCTTCTTAGACGTTTCGCTACGTCTGACTATATTCCGGGTTATTCCACTTCCGAAAGTGTATATTACGTTACAGTTATGTTGATTCAAATCAAAGTGGGAGCAAAGCAATCGAAATCGAAATTCCACGAGATCATGAATCAAGTTATCGCCTACACCATACAGAAACAGCTGCCGACACATATGAAAAATCGTCTTCTGAATTACTACAAGTACCGTTTTCGATACAGCTATTTTCGAGAAAAATCGATCTTGATGAATCTCTCAGGTGAGACCACTTTAATTAACTTCCTTCTACAGATATACGAATCTTTGCGTACCAGTAGCAATTAACCCTTTGCACTCGACATTTTTCACTACAAACATTCATTGTTTCCCGATAAAATATTAACAATATTACTTGCAACTTACATGAAACATCTTGCATAAATTGTGGGGCAGAATTGTTTTATTTCTGTTTCATGTGTTAATACCTTATTCAACATTCTATGAATTTTTTATTTTATAATTTCGATGAGTTACATATTTAATCTTGATATTTTATAATTTTTTATTTTATAATTTTGACTGAGTATTCATTCATCTTTACTGAAACTAATCATTTTCTTTCAGAACAACTACGAATGGACATTGCGTTCCAGGCGAATCACCGTTTGGTCGAAAACGTAGCCATTTTCAAAGCTCTGCCGAAACACGTGCTACGATCGATCGTGAAAAACTTGAAATTCGAGCTGTATCTGCCTAACGATGTAATCGTGAAAGCTGGCGCTCACGGTGATTGTATGTTCTTTATATCCGCTGGAACTGTCGCTGTTCTGACACCCACGGGAAAAGAGGTGACTTTCTACCACGTTGAAATTGAAAATTCAATTCTATCAATACAATGATCTAACTATTCGAATCTTTAATAAAAGTATCTTCTCTCTATTCGAATCTTTAATAAAAGTATCTTCTTCGCCACGATCTTTCCAATCTTCTTCTCGTAGAAAAAAATCAGATCGAACTGTCACGATTTATGTTTCATTTACGAAAGGGATGAACAATGACTTACAGATCTGTCATTTGGACGACGGAGCGCATTTCGGCGAGGTGGCGTTGTTGGTGCCCGATCAAAGGAGAGTCGCGAGTGTGATCGCGATCGAGGTGTGCGAGGTGTATCGTTTGGATCGCAAGGACTTCCGGAAGTGCATCGCCGTGCATTCGGAATTGTTCGCGAAACTTGAAGGGATCGCGACGGAAAGGATCCAGAGGGCTGTGGACATCGAAGAGCAGCACAAACGATACCTTCTGCGTAACTCCTCGCACGATCAGCATCGTCGTGGAACAATGTTTTAATCGATGGACTTAATTTCAGGATATTGTTGAATATAACATTGTTAACCGTAACATATTGTTGTCTAATGACACTGAACCAGTATTACCGTATCAATATGCATATTTTGTATTAATTATAGATTTAATGAACTGTGAAGCTCTCTTTGAAACATTCAATTATTAAGATACCTTTCCCATTATTCTCTAAATTATATTAGAAACCTTTTGTTATATGTTTTTGATTTTTCAAAAATACCAGATCGTAGAAATCGTAGATCAATTATGTCTGAGGATCTGAAACTAGTCTTCAAAGAATAATCACGTTGATTGTTTAACCATATATTTAAGGATCTTATATATTATTATTGTCCATACATTGTTTGTATAGTAGCATTCCTTTATATCTACCTTTATTTTATAATTATACTTTTATATATATTTATATATTATATTATATTATATTATATTATATTATAATATATTATATTATTTTAATCGTTACCTAAGATACTTACAATTACAAATACATTCACTAAAATCTTTAGCACTGTCGCGATAATCTATGCACGTACAGTTAATACATTGGAGATATGAATAAGTGATTAATTTGTAATTTCTCCCTTCCTTTCCGTTTTTCCTTCATCTCTCTCTCTTTTTTTCTAGCGATTTTCCCTTTTCCCGTAAAACGCTCGACCCACCGTTGATATTCGCAGCGATGATCGCGGGCATCGTTTGTCCCACAAAAATTAGTCTAAACGTCTATCCAGACACCGTAGAAAGCTAACCACCGACAAAACACGCCGTGAAATCGGAACAGAAGGTCTGCGAAAGTTTCTATCGATTGTACGCGAGGTGTGTTCCACGTTGATCACCTAATAGTCTTACCCTACGGGAATCAAAGAGGTTCGAAGCTCGGAAAAGATATCGATATCCCTAGAATACTCCTGAAGACGATTACACCGTGAAAATCCAAAGTAACCACCGTTTTCCAGCGATCCGAGTCTCTCTTGTAAAAATCACCTTTACGCTATGGGAGTTCATATTTACATTAGACATCGAAGTTTGATGATGCAACCGTAGCCGTTCCGACTACGCCCCAATTACAATATCATTATCAGAACTATCCCGTAATCACTAATCTATCTTCTCGGTTTAACTCTACGCAGCAAATATTCCACTCGTCTGGCAAACGGTGTCCCATCGATTGATCCAAATAAAAGCGACCGCTTACTAAAAGATTCTAATGAACGATATTAAAAACGAACTCTTCGATAAGCCCATTCACTGATTCAGGAGATAAAAAAAAAGAATACGAGTTACCAGAGAACGAGAAATATATTTATCATCACACTAATAATTCAATAAAATATACTTAGCTCTTTATAGTTTCTCAGTTTCGTTTCTCCGCGCGCATCGACTCAATTGCCAGCGTACGGTGCCTCGATCGGACACCGTTTGCCAGGAGGCAGCGGAACCGATTCCCGAAAGGCGACGAGTTTAAACTATCGAACGACCATCCACGATCATTTCCACGAACCTCGGATCGTCCCCCGCGAGGGGGACGTCCGTCGGTGCCCCAAGATTAAAAGATATGTCCGTCAACGATCAGCACGTAATAGCACGAGGATTATATACATCTCTAGTGTGAAACGATTAGTAGTGGGTGTAGTACACAGGGCATTTCACGTACTTAAAATCACACGGTAGAAATATAAATTATTCCCTATAGAATAGAGGGGACTCTACTGAAGTGACGTACACGGTCCGTTAACACTTGTCCTCTTCGAATCGAGACAACACAGTATCTCTTCGCCCCTTCTCCACGCCCAGTGTCCGATCGGTAGGATGTCTACGCACGTAAATTATGTAAAACTATTTATACATTCACTAGGTAGTCGTGTCGCTACGTTACAACATATATCCGTTTCGAATCGTGTAAAATACCTAGTTTGGTCAGATCTAGAGGAGTACGGAGTAGAAGAGTACTCAATATATCGTTCTCACTTGTTGGATCTGCGAGATAATCGATCGTGTCCTCGAATTTTCGTCGGAGTCATTGATACGATTTTACTTTTTAATCAGGATTCGCGCTTTCGCGATGATCTCTCGTTAAATGCGAACTACTGGTTTCTCGAGTGATTTGAAATGTTTGTCGATCGATATAAGTGCAATAATAATGGTAATGCACTTGGGGAGAGTAGATTGAAAGGAATTTTGAGAAAGAGCTGTCGAGAAATTGAACGATCAGGAGTAGATTCAGGTTTTATCAATGATCGAACGCTTCGTAGAATGTTCGAGCGCGAAAGATTCGTCAGGAGGTTAAAAGAGAATCACGCGAGAGGAATTCTACGTTCGAAATGGTTTTCCAGGGATTGTTCGTCGGACAGTATCCATCAGTAAATTTATATTTAGCACTCTTTCCCCGACCACTTTCGAAGGGTGTCTAATAAGGCACTGTCATTTACTGTGACTGAAACGATAAGATGAAAGAGGAGCGTCCCTCCCTACACGGTTCCGTGGATTCTTTCCATTCGATTCGAATCGAGTGAAACTTACGCTTACGATTTATAAATGCTTTTGGTACCTTTCCCTTCGGAATTCTTGATATGCTACGAGCTACTGATATTTCTGTGGTGTTCGGTATGAGAGCAAACATCGGCCGGTCGGTATCACTAATCGTTCACAAATATTCCTTTACGTGTTACTCGTAAGAGAAACTGAAATATCTCATTCTAGACGAAACTGAAAAATAATGAATTTCTACGAACATCTTCCATCGAACTTAAAATTCGACGAATGACGACACTGTCTTGCCAAGCATCGAAGTATCCAACAATTATTTAAATTATTACGAATTGTTTCTGCGCCCGATGCATTAGTTTTCGGAGATGAATGACACAGTTCGACCGAAGCTCTCATCCCCGAACGCCGAGGGTTCACGATAGACGATACAGTGTACACAGTAACAGTATAGTAGTTAACATTACGATTAAAATGTTCAGGAACAAATATATAAATGCAACACGTTAATATGACCATATGACGCGACTTGAGCGCTACAAAACTGATCGTACGGCTTCGGGAACGTAACTGTGCGCGGTCCGTGCAGTGCTCGCGAAAGATGCAACGTAAGTTTTGTGCGATTAGCGTATGCCAGAGCCTCGTGTTGTTCAATTCGTATCTCTTTTATCCGTCGATCGCTCGCCTCGCGAGCGGGCAAACCGTCGATCAGCGTTGCACCCCCGCGTATTTCCGAATCGTGCGATCAACGTCGTCCGATCATGATCGTGAACTATTTGGTGGCGGCACCTGCTATGACAATAGATCCGAATATATCGATAAGGATTAAGTAATAACAGTATCATAGAGTATATAAATGGCATATTGCGTAACAAACTATTTATATTGTACAACGTAACGTGCGTATATGCTTCATACAAATAGGTACAAGTTCTCCGTCTCCTCTCGTTTGTTCGCTCGCGCGCGCGCGCGCGCCCCTTCGAATGAGTACAAAAAAAAATAAGAGGAGAAGAAGAAAGTCAAAGAGAAAGGGAACAGAAATGACGCGCGATTCTCAGCTTAGCGTTCCGCGCGCGAGAGAACCGGGAGTTCGCGCGGGATTCATGGCGACGTTTCTTGTTCCCCTGACGCGTTGCCTGTCTCGCGGTTCGAACGGAGTCGCTGACCTGCACCGCGATGCACGAGAAAAATTGGCCGCGATACTGGACGCCTGGCGCGTCTCGATTGCACTCTCGGAACGAGTTCGATCAGCTTCGAGCGAACGCACGATCCTCGAGTCGGTTCTCGCCGTTGTTAAGCGACAGATGCATTCTAAGTACAATTGAAACAAAACTTTCATCTCGTGACCGTGACAAGACGCATCGCTTCGAAAACAGGATGAAACGAGGAAAGACGTGCGATAGAAGAAAACCTGTTCTCCATTTTAGCCCCATCTCCTAAGAGTATCTTCTAACCTAAAGATGACATTGCACGTCGCGGCTGCATTATTGCACTGGTGATACAATTCCGATCACAAGAAAACAGTTTACTATAACGCACGACTGTTCTTAATTATTTTCTCCTCGTAAGTCAAGCGCGCGTCTTGTCTCGAGCACGCTGGACGCCATGTTGTCGCTTCCCAGTGACGCGCAAGATGGCGCCCCGCTGACGCTCGAACGCGTCCTCCATTCCGGGAGTGCAGTCGGTTAGACCAGGGATCGGTGAATATCAATGAGGAAAGAAAAGAGAAGAAGATACGGGTTGCGGACCGTTTCCGGCCCTCTTCACCTGAGGATAGCGATCTATCCCGCCGTGATATGGCTTCGACCGACTAGGATTCAGCGTCAGATCGTATATACATGGATGACGACGTCTCCGAGGAGACAGCGGCGAAGATCGGGGCGTCTCGTTACGTGTAATCTCGCCTCGCTGTTGCTTAACATATCTTAGGATACCTATGTATAGACGTTCTAAGGCTTTGGCAGTGAATTAACGTCGATTAACGGGGCACGTTCGAGGTTCAGGTGTTACCCTCGATGCAGTATCCGCCCCTACCCCCCGCTCCATCCAGCTGGTCGTCGTTTTGTTCCTTTCGCACCCTCTCTCTCTCCCGATTAAGTCGATGTATCCGGCATGATCGTGGTTGCTGGCCATCGTCGTTGGACCAGTGCGCACTGTTAACACCGCGGCGCCGATCTTAGAGTCTTAGAGGAGCGGCTTCGGGATGTGCCTTCGCCTCCTCAACGAGTTGTGCAGATGAGGCCCTCTCGGTGGCAATTGTCCGGCCTCCGTGCACGATCGACAACAGAACTTCGCGTAGTACTCGTGCTTGCAGTATCTCGCCCTCACTATTAGGCCGCAGTTCGCATAGAACTGGGTGTCCTGGCAGTTCGGGTGGATGAAGATTCCTGGGGAGGACAGTTCAATCGGTGATTTTTAGTTTCGTGGAAGTAGAGGTCCATCGGTTGGTAGCATTTTCAGTTTAGATGTTCGTGGAACGGGCATGCGGTTTTTCGATTAGAAATTTGGAATTGAAAGTGAACTTTCCTGTGATATTTTATTATATGGGTGTTTCTGATTCATTCGTTGTTGATACGATTTTGCGCTAAGACGTTGAATATTGATTTCTTTGGAACTGAAGTTTGTATTCGTAGCGTATGTGGAGATTAACCCTTAATGAACTGGAAACATTTGACTTACCGCCGAAAAATACCGTGACATAGATAACAAGTGGAAAGAGGTTCATAGAAGTGACTTAGGACAATACTTAGAGTGTTGATTGTGAATATTGCAACAAGAACAGTGATGAAAGTGATAAAACGATTATATATGGCATCGTTGCGTTAAGGGTTAAAATTAGGAAGGAAATCGCTAAAAATTACCGGCAACTTCTATGTCCACGCTGTCAGAAGCTGTGGTGTAACCGTTGTTAGCCTCGCAACGGTACCTTCCGGAATCTTCCTTCATCGCGTTGTTGATCACGAGTTTGTTCAATTCTGTGGAC